TGCGACCAGCTCCTGCCTCTCGGGAGGCTTCTGCCCACTCTGGCCTCCCTACCTGCTTCTTGACGTGGTCGATCTCAGATCTCAGCCTCTGGATCATGCGGTTGAGCTCGGCGATCTCCTGCTTGGTGGTGCGCAGGTCGTCGCCGTGCCGGCCGGCGGACATCTGCAGCTCTTCGTACTGTGGGAAGAGGGGTGCGTGGGCCTCCCCGCCGGGGCCTGCGGCCCTGGCCGGCGCTTCATCCACTGAAGGCCTGGAGGCGTCATCAGACAGGAGGCTGAGCAGGCCAGTGTGCGAGCCTCTGGCTGCGCGGCCCATCCCGGACCTTCCTTCCGTGAGACCACCCTCGGGTGGTCTCCTGGGGGAAGGTGACATTTCCGAGCCCCAGCCCAGGGTCAAGCAAAATGCAGAGATCCAGGGCCCCGGCCTGTGGCATCGTCCTGCTTCGTGGGGCCGTTGGAGTCAGACTGGGCCTCCATGCTGTGAGTGCCTCCAGCGGCCAGAGGCCCAGCCCAGGCCCAGCCCAGGCCCGCCGCAGTCCTCGGCAGCCTGTGACTGCAGGAGGGGCCCGGCGTCCCAGCAGCCGTGAGCCCTGCTCACCTTGCTCTGGTACCAGGACTCGGCCTCAGCGCGGCTCCTCTGGGCGATCTCCTCGTACTGGGCCTTGACCTCGGCGATGATGCCGTCCAGGTCCAGGAAGCGGTTGTTGTCCATGGACAGGACCACGGACGTGTCCGAGATGTGGGTCTGCATCTGGGACAGCTCCTGCAGACACGGGACCGCGGATCACCCCGTGTGCCCATGTCTGCAGGGCCACGCGCCGAGACCGCCCACCCTGCCCAGACCGCTGCCCGGGCCGGCAGGGGCACGTACTGCGTCGTAGAAGGCCTTCAGGAAGTTGATCTCATCCATGAGTGTGTCCACCTTGGCTTGCAGCTCCACCTTGTTCATGTAGGCCGCGTCCACGTCCTGGGGAGTAAGCCCCGCGGGGGTGAGCGTGGCCTCCTTCTGGCCCACCCTCTGCCCGTCTCCTTCCCCATCTCCCTGGGCGTGGGCAGACCCGAGTCTGCTGCAGAGGCGCGTGGCCCCTGGCCGCTCCCGCTCACCTTCTTCAGCGTCACAAACTCGTTCTCTGCTGCCGTGCGCTTGTTGATCTCGTCCTCGTATCTAGAGTTACAAAGAGATAAGTCACG